ATTTCCTGATAGTTAGAAAAATTAATCAGTGGAACAACTTGCCTCCAGAAGTTGTGAATGCCCCAACACTGGAAGTCTTTAAGTCTTTAAGAAGTTGTTGGATAGCCATTTGTCTAGTATAGGGTTTCCTGCCTAGGCAGGGGGTTGGACTAGAAGACCTCCAAGGTCCCTTCCAACTCTGCTGTTGTATTGTATTGTATAAGATCAAAATCTTTCACTATATACAGAACTTCTGTCCTTGCTTTTACTACACTCATAAAGCACTTCATACATTTCCTTTTTGTTCTTCATCATATTTTATTTTGTGAGTTAATTGTAGAAAAAATACTCTTTAAAAGGTAAGACACAGAATAACAGGCTAGGAATAGCAAGTTTAAGAGCAGAAAAGTAAGAATTCTAAAGGGCATGGGAATATTTCTTAGTGATAATGTTCTCTTCCTGACCTAAACTTTCACTACCAATATAAAACACTAATAGAAAACTATTAATCACTAATTGAGATGTGAAGCTGGTTTAGATAAAATGCTTTGTTATTAATCCTTAAAAGTAGTGACAAATCTAAATACAAGAATTAAATCTGCATTTAATCGATATAACATATAACCTCGCGGTGAGATGAGTGGCAAATTATTGTTATAAAATAATAATAACTTGAACATTATTAATCCAGATTCAATTTGTCCTTAAAAACTGGTAACCCATTAAAAACATTTTTAACATGAAATAATAAAAAAAACCTCTATCACCACCCTCACCAACAAAAAGGTTGTGATTATACAGTGAGAGTAAACCTACATAGACTGTGGTGAAAAAGTATACTAGAAGTGACAAAAGGAGGAGACTGGTGCAATGATTAAGGTACCAAGCAAGAAAATTTATTCCTAACACTGTATATTGACATATACAATCAGGAGTGGGTTCCTGCCAGTTCTAACCTCTTCTATAGAAGAGGTTCCACAAATCTACAGAACCGGTTCCAGCTCCCTCCCCCCGCCCATCCACACAGTATCAAGATGAAGAGCGAGAGGAGGAATTCTGGGAGTTGAAGTCCACAAGTCTTAAAGCTGTCAAGTTTGAACACCCCTGGTTTTTTTTTTCTAAAGGGTTAGGGGTGCAAGGGCCTTGTAACTTGACAGGTTTAAGACTTACGTGCTTCAAATGCCAGAGTTTCTGAGTCAACATTTTGGTTGCTAAGCAAGAGTGTTGTTAAGTGAGTTTCACTTATTAAGTGAGTTTCACTTCCCTTTTACAAGTTGGCCATGCCCACCCGGTCACATGGCTGGCAAGCCACTCCCACCCAGTCACATGGCCGGCAAGTCACTCCCACCTGATTGCATGGCCAGCAAGCCACTCCCACCTGATTGCATGGCCAGCAAGCCACTCCCACAAAGCAGGCCACACCTACAGAAGAAATTTTTTTGAAACCCACCACTGTATACAATATACTGATTTGAAACCAATGTGAACTTTATAGCTGGATAAAACTAATTTGTATGAGTTAAAGATTTTTTTTACTCCAGTGCCTGGGCAAAAAACCAGATTTTGATGGTCTACTGAAAAGATAAAAGGATGGGGCAGGCTTAATCTTAATCTCTCTAGATTTTGAAAGTTCAGAATAAAAAGCAGCATTTCAGATAAACAGCATATACATCTGAACAAATAGTCTAGAAATTACCAGTTTTGAATCATGCTTTTGTAAAATTAACCTTTATCATTTTAAAGATCATACTTTTAAATTAATAGTTTAAAAAATATTTCAGTAACTTCTTTAAAAGCACACTTAAAATTTATATGCAATAGTTTGAAAGTAGCTTAACTTACCCATTCTCTAATTACATTCTGAATGTTTGGCTCTGCATCTTCTTTAATTCTGTATACGGTAAAGTCAATTCTGTAGTATAATCTACCTAGGCATTACAAAAACAATGTAAATGTCAGAATTATGACTCTTAAATATATAAAATTCTCACCAAGATATATCACCCAGCCAATGGTAAAGCCACAACACTGATAATGCTTTTAAAACCGGCTTTAATTTTTAATAATATGGTAGTTATTGTCACCTCATTTAATTTCACTTTTTTAAAAACCTTGATTTTTTTATAATAGGCAAACATATAGAAATATTTATTATTGTATCATTTTTGTTGTAGCAAGGCAAATTATTTTAAATTTGACAATTATTTGAAATATTTTAGTAATATCTTCCTGATCTTTTGATCAATCTTTCTATTCTTTTTCTGAATAAAAATTAGGGGTTTGCAGACTCTGCTTTGAAGGCAAGATCAGAAACTTTAGAAACAATCTATTTCCCACTGAACTGATTCAATAATATTCTGATTTAATTTGGATCCTGCAGATCACAAATGGGATTTGGAAAAACTTTGGAAAACTCTGTTCTTTCATAGTATGAATGAGAAAAGCAAAAATGACTATAACTGTTATTGGTTTTTTTTTCAGTATGAGATGAAATTTTCAGGAAAACTACAGCATTATGAAGGTATTCTATTTTATAAAAAAAAGCACATTTGAGTTTTTTTCTTAAATTACTGTAAACACTTAAAACTCTTTACAAATGTGCTTAAATGTCTTGATATGCTATTTCTTATAGTAATAGGCCAGGGTTATAGAATATTTTTTTTCAACCATATAGCTTAAGACTTTATTAATCTACAGTATGTAAGAAACACATTTTCAGCTGGTGAAGATCATTGTTGGGGGTTGTAGTAGAAACTATCCTATAAAATAAATCAACTATCTACTTTCAACTATCCTATAAAATAAATAATTTGCTATCTGAATGATGCACAATTGCTAGCACTGTACATATCAAATCTCTACATAGCACACATCAAATTTAGTTGTTATGTGGAGCATATTTAAAATATTTTGTGGTTTCCACTGAATAAGAAGGGCAGAGAGCGGACCTTATTTATAGCACTAAGTGATAATCAGGTGAGGTAGGAAAAAAAATCTCACAGATTATCTCCTAAATTATAAGAGAATCACTTAGGGAAGAAATTACCGACATGGAATCCAGATTCTCTTACCGTACAACATTTCACTAGTCATACTGAACTTTTAAATAAATACCAATCTATAATAGAGTCACTGTATCATCAACAAGAGCTGAATAACTTAAAAAAAATATCTTGTACAACCCCAATATTCTATTCCATGTTTCTGGTTATTTTCCCAATTTGGAAATATTTTTTTTGCATTTTTAAGGTTATAAGGTTATAAGGTTTATTGCACTTGTATGCCGCCCTATTC